GCTTCACCATGCAATAATTTGGCAGTTATGCCGATGGGTGTTGATTCAGTAGAGCCGACAAAAGATGGAACGCATATAAAGAAAACTCCTTAAATATTTACATAATATTACAAACAGAAATTTCTGCATGAAATAGTATAACATATAATTCCATGGAATTAATTCTCCGATAAAAGCTGCAAAAAAAAACAAATAGTTGAGAATTATCTTAATCGTTGGACCCTCCCCCTCTCCTTACTCTGTTTATATCTACTAACAACAAAGAAGCGATGAAACAAATTGTAAAATAAACAAATTGTAAAATAAATAACTTATTTATTTTTCTCTCTTTTATTCCTTTTCTCCTTTTTCTTTTTAAAAAATTTTTATTTTCTTTTTACACGTATCACACGCATGCTGTGATGTATTAAAAATTAAACGTCCTCATTTTATTGTATGTGAAAATGACCAATAAAATATAGGACAATTATATAAAAGAGTTAGAAATAATGAAAAGTTTAAAGTTTGTTTATGTCAAGCTGTTTTATTCAATTTTCAAACTTTAAACTTTTCATTATTTCTAACTCTTTTATATAATTGTCCTATATTTTATTGGTCATTTTAATTAAAAGAATATTCGGGCGTATATTTATGTTCTATAAGATTTTAGTTTTAATATTTTTAAAAGTTGAAAAAATCGATCAGAATTAATGTTGGTATGTATATGCTCATGTATATCCTAAGCACTACTATATACATGTGCGCACTATATTTACCCCTATATACAGTGAAAAAATGATAAAAATAAATATTTTTCCCTTAATTCCGCAATTTTACCCCTAAAATTGTAATTTTCTTTTCCTTAATTCCGCACTTTACACTTAATATTGCAATTACGTTTTTAAAATTTGTAACCTATTTTCCTTAATTATGCGATTTTACCCCTAAAATTGTAAACCTATTTTCGTTAATTCTGTAATTTATTTTATCTTAATTTTTCTTAATATTGTATTTTTTAAACAACATATTATAGAATTTTTATCACGAATAAAAATTAAATACAATGTGTAAATAAATAGAAATAAAAATATAATGAATATAAAAAGGGAAGGAGAATGGCTTCGCCATTCGACAGACATCACCAAACTCAACCAGGGACATGAGAATTTACTCAAGTCCGCTACCACCGATTTTCAATGTGAGGATTACCTCACAACATACGATAGTTGGTATAGAATTTGGGTGCCCATACCCCTGGCTACTTTCCAACTCCAAGTTAATTTGGGGAAAAATTCTCTTTTCCCCTCCTTTAGAATAAGCATTACGTATGTTGACATTGTGTTCTTCAGCATACCAGGCAAGGAATCGAAGAGCAAGCAAACTTTGGGTGTCTGTGTTGTCATATCCAATCTCAGGAACAATGCCAAGGTGTTGAACCGGTAGGTGGTTTGCCCTAAAGTGCTTCATGCATGCACTGGCGATTGTCATTGCCTCTCTCAGAACATCCAATCCATTTGACACATCCAGAAATTCGCGCCTAAATGCAACCAAAGCAGCCATTAGAATTTCCACGTCGTTGGTACAATATGACGCCAATGATTCGACCAGATTGAAAGACTCATCCTTGTGTTCTTCATACCATTTATCAAATTGAGCTCTCTTCTCGGGCATCATCCCATCAGCCAGATAGTCATCCTTCACCGGGAAAATTTCCTTACCATAATTTTCCGGCCTATTTACCAAGTGTGGGAAAAAAGGTTTGTCCTCTACACTAAGTGCAAAGGCAGGGACCAAGGAAGCAAGGGGCATGGGCATTAAATTAAAAGTGTCCCTAAAAATAACCCAATTATCTTTACCAAGTTTTACCTTCATTTCGTATAACTTATTACCTTTTTTAATCATTTCTGGGGTCAACCCTCTAAGAAACAATTCCTTAAACACTAGTACCATATCAAATCTACCCCCAAAGTGTGAGAAAGCAATCGTATCTGTTATTGATGACTTAATTAACCAAGAAACAAATGATGACAGTGGATCTACGATTATATTTTGTTGGTCAACCTTTGTATGATAAAAGGGTTTGTGTGAGAAGGTGATCGTACGGTACTCATCACATATGGAACATTTAGGGTTAGGTCCGTTATTGATACACTCGGGACAGTTTACTTTTACCCCTATAAAGTTAACCTCATGTATTTTACCCTTTTCCCCTTCACGGTGCTGCATGGTTTCAAAATCAAAGGCGATAATTCGGTACGCCTTTGGGGGTTTGATGAGAAGGGGCTTGATGTAACACCCACGCTTAGGATCGTGGTAGCTACCGCACGTTGTGCAATAGCGTTCGGAGCAAATATGACCCTCCCTTCCATTCCTATTATTATTCTTAACACCCCAGATAACCCCACATTTTTTACATTTCTTAGAGGAACTACAAAAATTCGAGGTGATATGGTGGGTGTAACAGTTTTCATTCTTAAAGTTTTTCTCACACCCTTTACAAAATTTTGAAAAATTATCTAAAGGTTTACATGGAAACCCTGGGCCAACCCTTGAACAGTTAAGACATCTAGATTTACACGAAATTGCATGGTTCAATTTCCTATTATAAACGCTTTCACAAGATAAACAGTAGGGTTGACCGAATAAGTCACTAACCTTGCGGACACCATCAAAGTGTTCCTTATTATAATACAAAATTATAGGGATATCAAAATTATCAGGCCCGTATTTATAAATAGGTTTTCCCCCCAAATCCCCGAATATATAAACTTTAAACCATCCTCTGTTCACTGTATTCCATAAGTCAACCACCCGTGGGACCCATTCTTCAGCGCAGTACACCTCTTGATTAAATTCAGCTCCAATCTCTTCCATTAGCTCTAATACATCGTTTTCGAGAAGTTGTTTCATCCCCCTTCGACTATGGAGATAATCATAGAATTTCCATCTTGGCCAGGAAAATATTGCGTGAACAAAAGTAGCCATCAAAGCGTGGAAGAGACAGTAAGTATCAGTATTTCGTATTTTTATAAGGTTTTGTTCATTAATCCTATGATGAATTGTTTGTAGCTCTCTACCGCTACCATGCACGGTTCTAGAATTAAGTCCATCTCTTTGTATAGTTGTTATTGAAACAAGAAAAGGGGCCCCCCATAACATACCATTATCCTGTTTCTTACTCTGGGCAACCTTTAGGAATTGATTCAAAATTGAATCAATTGTGTTGGACGTGATTTCTCGAACCGGGATCCAAATGTCTGAGTCAAGGTTCTGACTCGAAATTATACACCCTAGCTGATCTGGTTCCATTTGTCGTTCATGATTTTCTAATAGAGATTGATCGATACAATACTCAAAAATCGAGCCTAGTAAACCTTCTGGATTATTGGAAACATTTGTGATTATGAATTTGGTTGATAACTTAAGAAGATTAAATTTTTGGGTAAACTTGGTCTCATGACCGAGTTTTTTAACATAGAAGTCAAGACTCTCAGTAGGGGTGATTTTAATTTTCTTGGGAGGGGTAGGTTGCATTTTTGAAAATAAAATTTAAAATGAAAAAATTAAATTTGATATAAGATATATGAAAGGAAATTTAATCAAAAATAAATGTTTGTTTTCAACAATAAAAATGAAATTTTAAGTTATAGCTAAATTAAATTTTCTATGAAGGCAGGCTATGGGTAAATAAGGTTATGAATGTGGTATTTGTAGGATTTGATCGTGAAGAAGCAGGCGTTGAACAGTAGAATGATATTTCAGGTCAAAAGAAGTCGCTTTTTATACTTCCGTTCTAGCTCCACCTATATTAGGTTATTCTCAAATTAAAACACAGTTGGATTTTTAGAGAAATTTCTTAACTAGGTTAAGATTTTTAATAATAACCTTGAAATTTTGACCTATTTATTGACTAATTTTATAATATTATATTCAACTAAATACATGAGTGAGTGATATTTTAATTAAGGGTCGAGAGGATAACACTATCACATATAGAGATTAACAATGTAGGCAAAGTGGGTTGGGTTGGATTAGATGAAGGAGATCAGGGACTAACCAGATAGTATGATCCAATTAGACTAACACTCACTGGTTTTTATACTATCTTAAGTTTGCATGACTAAATACTAAACACACCAGATAGCATTGGATTTTGCGTTTGTTCGAATTTTACTTAGAAAAGGAATATAAAGATGATAAAGAGATATTGAAATTATATATTTTATTAAAAAAAAAGATTATTTAAAATAAGAATTTTTATATTTATCTTTTAATAACCAATTTTATTCTTTATTTATTTCATTGTTTTTTCATCATTTCTTAAACCTACGTATTTACATAATTCAAGGACTCCTTTTTTTCCTTCAAATTGAATACAATAGAAATTTCAGTTTTGTAGGTTAACTCTTTGAATAGAAAGATCTTTCGATATGTAATACAATAAAGATTCTGAGCCTATTGAAAATTTTGATTGGTTTTAGGTCAATCTTTGAATAAAAAATTTCTTCGATAGAAATTTTAATCCTCTAAAAATTTGAGTTTTTTAGGTCAATCTTTGCATAGAAAAATCTTAGAATAAAAATTTTAAATTTTAGGTTAAATTTGAATAAGAAAAATACAAAAGAAAAATTTCAAAGTTCCTTTTTTTTCACTCTCACACTGAAAAGAATCTTAATAATTGAAATTTTTAGGCTAATCCTTTCCATATAAAGAAGAATAGAAATAATGACCTCAAATGATTAAAAATAAGTTTTATAAAAATTTACATAATTGGATTAGTAAAATAAAATTTTTAAATCTAACCATAAGGAAAAGGAGTCGACGAAAAGTAAGGAAAATAAAGGGACTTAATTTTAAAATTATTTATCTCTTTATCTATCTCCCGACTGCCTACGCTATTGCCCTTTTTCTCTGCCTACGGATACGTTGGTTTCACTACTCATTTTGGTAACTTCATTTTGGCATGTTTTATTTTGTCATTGAATTTTTGTCAAAAAATTTCTTTTGAATTTTTCAAAAATATGAAAATTTCTTCAAGATCTAGAGCAGATTTGATCAGATGTGTTGATTGTATTCGTTCTAGTATTCTCAAAAATGATTTGAACATTTCTGACTTGCTCGATGAGGGAGATAACTTATTTTATTTAAATAGCAAAGATGAGAAATTGCCTATCCCAAAGAGTGTTATTATTGCGTTTCAACGTTTGTATTTAAAATTAAATGTAAGTTAATATTTTATTTGATCCTTATTTAATTGACTCACAATTTTAGAGTGAAATTAGTGCATTAAACAGCGACTGTTTAAATAACGAAGGTTAGTTCTTAATTTCTTAAACTTTTGATTTATCAAAGTCTTGAGACTTTTGTAGCAAAATTTGCTGATATTTCTCTTATTAGTCTTTTTTATTCTGCCTGAGTTTTTAGTTGAGTTAAAGGTTTCTGTTATGAGTTAAAATGTGCCTTCTTAGGTCATTTTTATACTTATCGAGTTTCCAATTTGTATAAAAAATTTAACCGATGTTAATGTACATTTTGCCTTTTTATCCTTTTTTTTAGAAATGTCCGCAAAAATCTCTTTGGATTACTTTTAATTCTAGTTGACTCACATCTCTTACAATTATTGGGTTCAGATTCCCTTGCTAAATTGACATCATGGCTTTCACATGAACGAAGAACGTCCTCAAATAAATCTCAAGAACCCGAAAGTGTTGACTCTGAATCTTTGCCAAAAGAAACTGAGGAATCTAGGCATGCCATTGCACCCAAACAGCTAGAAAATAAAAACCACGTACAGACGCAGACAATAAAGGTTTTGGTTTTTATTTTGGGAGAACGCAATAATAAATTTAGACTTGCAAATTGGGATTTAAATCTGTAGAAGCTGTTTCAATCTCCCCCCGTTTGCCGTTGACTTCAACCGTCTATACTCAAACTAATATCTATGAAAGTGTGAAGAATGTTTCTATGCAAGCTACTATACCATTAATTAATCAAGCAACATCCCCATTGATTGATAACAATGAAGAACCAAATTTAAAGTCTCCTCAAGTATCTCAACAAAATGAAGAGGTTGTTTGATTTCTGATTTATTTTTAATTTTGTTTAAATTTAAGCCAAATAGTGACAAATCAATTTCTACTTTGTTAACACCATCTTCCAATATGCAACAATCGACAGATCTTAGCAGCAGTGGTCAGTTGGATGAAGCTAAAGCTATTTCATTATTTTCAAGGCATGGGTTTTTTTTGGCTATTTTAAATAATTTTGCTTTTTAACTTTAGAAATCGTGTTGTTGTCTATAACATTTCTTCGGATGGTGGAATAATAAAGGAGCAACAGAAAGCTAAATTTTTTAACAATTATTCCATTTCATCAGAAAAGTCAAATACTGATAATTGTGACGATGAAATTGAATCAATTTCAATAAGCGAAATACGTTCCAAAAATACTCCACAGAATAGGCACAAAAAATTTGGATGTGTGGATTCTTCAAAATTAGATTTGACAAATCTTAAGGTTTATATTTTGTTTGCTTATAAGAGAAGATCCGTTTCGTGTGCAGAAATTTGGTATTGTTGTTGATGCCGTTCGATAGAGGACCCCCGACTTCCTTTTGCCAAGTGTTATCTGTTATTTTGCAAAATGACTTTGGGTCAAGTTATGGTCATTCAAAATACTTTCAAAATTATCTACTTTGCAATAGAAAGTTCGGAGTTCTCCATCAAATTGTATCAAGACAACACCAAATCTTTGTACACACTCAATTTTAGACCTTTGAAATCAACCCCCTAGCTACGCCCTTGGTTTCTTGTAATTTATTTTTTATGTGTAGGAATTAACTGAAGAAAATTGCGAGTTTATTGCGTTAAAAAACGTATTGGAAGAAAAAACTCCAACCAAAACAAGAGCAAGGGTTGCGAAAAATTTTCAAATTGGAATGGATGAAGAAGAAGAACCATCGACCTTAAATCAGATAACACCAATTCCAAATAATTTTGAATTTAGTTCATGATTTTTTAATAAAATTTTTTCAATTCTTTAGATTGAATGTTTAATGATTATTTGATCAATTCTTATTTTAATCATGCAAATTTTGTTATTTATTTTTTTTAGATGATTCCAAAAAAATTCACAACTGCCACAGAATTTAATGGAAATGGAATTCATCAGTTGAGGCATTCATTTTATTGGTTTTGTGTTAGTGTGTTTCTGCTTTTTGAGGTTTCCTTGCTATTTAAAAATTTTTTTATTTTTTAAGTTGAAAATTATCGAAGGCTACTTTCTTCGAAGATTAACTTATCGACTCTTTCCTGATTTTCTAATTTATTTGATTGAATATGCTGCTCTATTTGTCACTGTTGCTAATGCTGTTTTCTGCTTTGTTGTTTACATGGCTTTTATTTACAAATTGTTTATTGCTCAAATTATGTCAGAAAGTTAGTTTGTTTACCTTCTAATTTAATTATTTTAATTTTTGCAGAATCTAGATTGGACGCTCAAAAACTTAAAAGTGATGACTCTCAAACTTTAGATGAATCCGTTCGGGCAGACTGTATCCAGTCTTTGTTTGCGTTCACTTCAGAATTCTTTCGTCTTTCGAGCTTGCCTCAACAACCGCAAAAGGATTTGAAGTAAATTTTATTTAAAACAGTTTTTAAATTATTATTCCATAATACTGAATGAGGTTAATTGTAAGAACCATACCTCCCCCCAGCTACGAGTTTTATTAACGGAGTAACTAACCCACAGCTGTGTGTTGGGTTAACGTACCTACAGCTGAGGGTCGCTTAACCCGATACCCCGTTCTTCTAATACCGCCTCCGAGATTTATTAGCATAGTTTCTATTATTTAATCTTTAATCCGTATATCCCCTACTACTCTGGACCTCTCTCTTAAAAATTAAAATTTTTTAGTTTTACATTTTCTACTTCCGCAACTGATAGTCTGAGAAACTCTTCACTTTCATCACTAGTTGGTTATCGCGATTCGCCACTTAACACAAGCGTTACAAGTGTTCACACAACTTCACAACTTCGACAATTGCTTGAAAATGAAACGTTTAATTTTTCTAATATTTTTTAATTAAAAAAATTTTTTAGTTGTGATTCAGTGATTGATCCATCTGATTGTACTGCATTTTTCAATCGTGATTTCGATTCCAAATTTTTCTATTACCCGGGTATCGCTAGTTCTGCTGATTTGAAGTCTAATTTGGCTCTTGATGGTTAAATTTGAATTATTTTTTCTTGTGATTTAAAATTTTCTTTAAGCAATTAAATCATTTATTTCTGACTCAGAGGAAACTACAGAGCAGCGTAGACCTTTGGCAACTGAAAGAAGAACTTATCGCCGTTCCTTTTCTGCTACTGATCCTGCACCAAAGGTTTATGTTGAGACACGTCTTAAAGAGGTTTATTTGGCTTTATAAATTTTCAAAACTTTAATTTCTTAGATTCTTAATGTTTACGAATTAAATGAAGCTGATTTGGAACTCTACGAACTTAAATTGAGAATTTGGCTTTGCAATACAATTATAAAACCTTTGAGTGAAAAAATTAATGAAATGAATTTGGAATTGGCCGAAAAACATGCAAACATGAACATTACTTTAGGACAGACGCCAATTGATTTAATTCAAACTGCAATGGCGCATCGGACAGATTTGTGCAACACGTGGGATATTTTTCAATTAATTTTTTAAATTTATGTTTACAGGTTTTTGCCATTTATTATACCTTATATAAGAGTTCATCAAAATCAACAATATGTTGTCAACAGGATTCATTCTTTTTCTCAAAATATTGCGCTTCAGGAATACAAATGGTTAATTTAGTTTTTTTATAAGGGAATATTGTGATAAAGCAAGTCGTGAATTGTTTTAAAACAAGCTTTGGATACGGCCAAAAGTCTGATAAAATTTTTCATCCACCAGTGCTTTGCATGATGCAATTTTTTCTTATTTTCAGGAATTCTGGTGGTGATACTATCGCTAGAGACGAAAAGGATGGTAAGGATTTTCATTTTTTATGGGTTAGAAGTCCCGGAATATTTCTGCTTGGGAGGAGTGGGGGCTCTATCTTCGTTTTATTTAAGTTTTAAATAAATTCATCTTTTAAGCTTTTTCTCGAATTTTGCCATGGAATGAACAACAAAAGCTTCTGACAGATGTTGAACTTATCTGGCATCTTTTTTGTACTTATATGGACTTTCATCTTTCTCCCTGTTCAAGCGCATTTTCTGCATTCTCATCTGAAATTGGAAATAAGCCTTTTAGTAATTTGTATTGTTCAAAATGCCCTTCAAGTTCAACAACGCCTGTCACAATTTCAACCTCAAATTTAACTGATTTATTTCCTCCTGCAATTGTTGCTAAAAAACAGAAACAAAATTTGTTGCGTGGTGAAGATGCTTCTTGTCAAAATATCGAGGATGATGGAGAATTTTTTATACGAATGGTTTATTTTTTACTTTATAAAACATGATAGTTAAATAATATTTTAGAATGAGACAACTCCACCAACCTTTGAATTTGTTATTGATGGTGGTGTAACTGTATTTCAACCTGCAAAAGGAACATCACAAAATTTTTGGATTGTACTTATTCTCTTTTTGGCTCATTTAAAGAAGTATGCAAGAAGTAGAATTGGTGGACATATTCATTTGACGGCATTTAATTTGGATATTTTTTAATTATTTTTTATTTGTTGGGGATGTATGGCTTAGGGATGTCACGGATTACGCGAAACTGACTCTAAAAATCTTCCAAAAATCGACCAGACTTTTTTCCTCTTAATCCCACTAGCTGACCCAACCCTAGCTAGACCTGGCCGAGACCCGAAGCCGGGGTTTTTTGCCCGACCCGACTTTTTTTCAACCTTTGACATCCCTGGTATTGCTGTTGTCATGCTATCCTTTTTGGAAATTTATGGCGAAAGCTCTTTTTGATTTTTCTATTAATAAAAGTCGATCTCTTATTTTATTTTTTCTTCTTTGTTTATTTATCAAACCTAGTTTACTTTTTTCACACATTTACATTCTTTTAGAGTTAAATTATTATAATTCGATGGGAAAAACTTCGAAGGACAAGAGAGATATTTATTATCGCTTAGCAAAGGAAAAAGGTTGGCGAGCCCGATCAGCATTTAAACTTTTACAACTAGATGAATCATTCAACGTTTTTAAAGGTTTGTTAGTTTATTTGTTAAATGGGAGGGATGTTTACTTGTCTGGGTATGCCAGGTTCCTGTCAGCGTTGTGTGGTCACTTTTGCCCTTCCCCGAATTGTATCTGAATTGTCCGTCGTTTTTAAATTAACTTTCGCCTTTCGTATTCTAACCAAAAAGTCAAAAATTCGGCGAATGGCGTAAATGACCGGCACATCTCTGGTTCCTGACATCTTTGCTACTTCGCCCGATCATACTGCTGAATTAATTTTCATTTTACCGATACTAAATATTCTATTTTCTCTATTCAGATGTAACTCGCGCTGTTGATCTGTGTGCTGCGCCAGGATCATGGAGTCAAGTATTTTTTATTAAAAAATCTTTTCATTCCTTTTTTCTTAGGTTCTTTCCTCGAAACTTTACTTAAATAAAGATGAAGAAGAACGTAAACAAGTCAAAATTGTTGCTGTTGATTTGGTACTTTTATTCTTTTGTTGACGTAAAATTCTCAAAATTTAAGCAACCAATGTCAGCACTTCCCGGAGTTATCCAAATTCAAGGAGATATAACAGAGGTTTGATAGCTTAAATTAAAATAAAGATGAGAACATTTAAGGATGCAACAGCAGAAAAGATTATTTCTCATTCTGATGGACAACTAGCACAATTGGTTGTTTGTGATGGGGCTCCAGACGGTTTCTATTTTTATTATGCTATTATTAAAAAGGGAGTTTACGACTGCTTTCCTCGTTCCATGCAGAAATTCCTTTTTGATTATTTATTTCACTACATAGGATATATTTTAACTGTTTGGCTTTGTATTGTTGTGGTTGAGTTAGCGAGTTTGAATTTCGGCTGGATCTAATGGGTTCGGTTTCATTAACTGTTGTCATTATTTCTCAGTTTCCCCTTCAATTATTTTTAGATCCCTTATCTTCATTCTATCCTCTATCTTTACAAATTCTTTTTATTTTTAAGTAACTGGTTTGCATGCCTTCGATGAATATCTTCAAAGCCAGTTGGTTTTCTCGGTGAATTTTAATTTAAATTTTGGATTAATTTTTGGACTTTAAGGCTTTCAACATAACTTCTTGCATATTAACTCCAGGGGGAACATTTATTTCTAAGGTTCTTTTAGATTAAATTTTCTCTTATTTAATTTAAAATTTTAAGATTTTCCGTGCAAAAAACGTCAACATAATTTATGCCCAAATGAGCCAATTCTTCAAAGAAGTAAATTGTTGTAAACCAAAAAGCAGTAGACAGTCAAGTTGTGAGGCTTTTATAATCTGCCAAAACTATTCCCCGCCTGAAGGATATGAACCGACTTTGTGTAATCCAATCTTGTCAGCAAATTATTGTTCGGGTTTATTTTTTATATCTAGAATTAAGCAATCCTCTAGAATTAAGCAATCTGAAGAATTTTCCATACTTCCTTTTTGCTGGTGTAGATATTTGGTGTAGATATCACGTAATCTCTAAGGGACTAATAGTGGGAGGACATTTTGAGCTAACACACAAAATCCTATAAATTAAAGGGATAATTCGAGAAAGCACTATTGACTGGTCCTTTTCATTTAAGCTTCATGATTTCCAAACCTCGTCCATTCCCTCTGTCATCACAATCCTTTTATAATTAATTTTCAGATGACTGTATTTCTTCCCTAAAATCTCCTACAAATAGAGCTTTGGTTCCATTCATGGCTTGTGGTGATTTATCAGGATTTGACTCTGATCGAACTTATCCTCTGGAATTAAGCAAGATATCTGAAGAATTTTCTGACTGGAAATATATTCCTAGATCAGTTGTACAACCACCAACAGAGCCAGCTTATAAAAAAGCCTTGGGACTAAAGAAGGACGGTTCAATGTTAAATAAAGAAGACAAACAATCAAAACACTTAAACGAAAGAAGAATAAATACTAATTTGACGGATGACGATGAAGTTGTTGTTGAAGAACAAATATTTTATGATGAATGCGATGAAAATTGTTTATCGATTTTAAATATTTCTGGTTGAAGTTTATAACTAGTTTTTGTCGGAACGTCCCAGTTTAATCCCTGAGTATATTTTTGTCATCAAATTTTCAATTTCTAATCAATTTAGATAATATCAGAGCTCTTGATGTAAGCATTATTTTAACGACAACAAAAAAATTGGGCAACGCTTTCCTGGGATTTTATTAACACCAACAGCCATCTGGATTAATCTGATCCGGTTTTAATCCGGCAAAAATAATACCGGATCCTGCAAAATTTTTCCGGAATCCGCGCCGGTGCTTACTTGGGCTTTGTCCATCGTGTTATTTATTTTGCATCTCTCTTGTTTATTTTTCTCTCTTTGCCTCTTATTTCTTTTTCTTTATCATCCATCGTCTCTTCTCTCTTTATCTCTTGTTACCATCGTCTGTTGTTATCGCATTTTCTCCATTTATCGATTTTTGTAGTCAATCTTTGCTCTGACAAACAAAACATGTGTTAGAGAAAACAAATTTATTTTTCCCACGCGAGAGTGAGGGAAAATATCGATTCTTTTTCTCTAACCAGTACATGTTTTTGCATGTGAGCAAAGTTCAACAACAAAGATCAATAATTGAAGAGGGATACTTTTTTGTGAGCATTCATTGTTTTTCTTTGACTTTTCTTTCATTTTTATTTTATTCTAAAAAACAATATTTTTTATTTTTAGACAAAAAATGTAATTCATTCGAAGGACTTTATTAGATTGTCCATGCTCAACATTCAAGGCACTGTCTTCAATTGCCTCAACATCTTCCATTTCTTCTAAACAACTACATTTTTCAACCAGCACATTCGATAAGGTTTGGATTTTTGTACCATGCTTCAATCTTTACCAAATTTCTTTGAGGTACTTCAAAACAACACATCAGGCTCTCATCAAATCATCCATCAACTTCAAATACAACAAGGAACAACCCAAGGACAAATCCTGAACCCGCAAAACATAATTGTCGCCTCTTCAAATAATGTTGGTTGATCATCAGGTTTGTAAACGTTTTTGTGTTAGACCGTGTTCCCTCAGCTCCGCTAAACCTTGTTAACCGATGGTTTCTGTAAATATTGAGCACTGGCCACACATGAAACGACGGGTGAACCCTAGAACCCTTGTTAACTGACGTTCTTTTGCCGACACGCTCGTAATATCGGAACTGGGTCGATATCTGAAGCTCGTCAGGCATTTTTATGCTCCTTATAGGGGAGGGATATTAGTGATTCTTTATCATTAAAACAATGCTCTACCCATTCCCCTCCTCCAGTTTCATTTTTATTTTCTTTTTTTTTAGAGCTGTTTCCTGCTATCTTCGTGCATTGGCTCTAAATCCCAAACATGCAGTTGTACATGGATTACAACAATATGTTCCTGAGGCTTATTGCAATTTGGCTAATGCTTTTAAAAGAGAAGAGATTGGTTACTGAGGCTGAACAAGTTAGTTTTTTTAATTTGGTTAGATTATATTGGTTATTTTTACCTTCGAGTGTGTCCTGTCGAGGTAGCAGGGACACGCTCTTAACTGAAATTTTTATGATTGGTATATCGACTGCTCATGTCAGAGTTTTCAGCTTACGAGAAAAGTTTTCGATTATTGTACTGGTTTTCCGTTGGAGTTCGAACTCCCTTTCTTAACTAGTGAGCCTAACGCTCTAACAGTTACGCCACGGGTGAAAACTGCCCTAAATTTTTATTCAACTAATTATTTACCTCCTATTTATTTTTTTTAGATGAACGATGGTGATGGTGGTCTTCAGACACTTGGCTTTTATTTGGCACAATTTCAGTTGCCCTTCACTCCCGCCCCCCCCCCCCCTCTCTTCCCATTTTGTGGACAAAACTTGCTGTGTTTTAATACAACAACATTACTTTATTTTTTCATTCAGTGCTTTGTATGCTTTGCAACCAAAGAAGCTGCTGCATCTGGACTTCATCAATCTGGTTTTGTTTTAAAACGTTAGTTTGGGTTTTCTTTAACTAGAAATGAAATCATATTTTTAGAAGATTTTTAGAAGAAATCATATTTTTAGAAGAAATCATATTTTTAGAAATGAAATCATATTTTTAGCAGTAGAGGCGGATGTGGAGCTCTCTTCTCCAACATCAAAAGCACAAGTCCCCTTTGGCATTTGCGTGCGTCCTTTAGGCGTGTTGCGTGGGTTTTAGTTTCGTGGAGGAATGTTCCGGCAATGTGCGGGGGAATACCATGCATCTGTGCGAAAGAATTGCGACAATGTGCGAACGTTCCGTCAGATGTTCGGGGGAATGTTCTAGCATTTGCTTCGGCATCTGTAGGAGTTCTTCTGGCATTTGTTTGGAGTCTGGCTTTGTTGGAGTTCTAACGGCAATGTATGATATTCTTCTGGCAGTGTTTGGAGTTCTTCATCTGTTTATGTGGGGGGAATGTTCCGGCTAATGTGCGGGGGAATAACCCAGCAACTGTGCGAAAGAATTGCGACAATGTGCGAACGTTCCGTCAGATGTTCGGGGGAATGTTCTAGCATTTGCTTCGGCATCTGTAGGAGTTCTTCTGGCATTTGTTTGGAGTCTGGCTTTGTTGGAGTTCTAACGGCTGTTGTATGGAATTCTCCTGGCATCTGTTTGGAGTTCTTCCTTCTGTGTGGGGTTCTGTCTGGCATTTGCGGCGTCTGGCTGGCATCTTCATGGGACTTGTTGCTTCTATGGTACTTTGATAACTGCTCTTCAGCTTCATGGTTAGTTTATATCTGTGCCTAAACAATCTCATTTAAATTATTTAGTGCCATGCCTCTAAGAATTGTCCAGCAGCAACACAGAAAGAAGAACAAACTCAAAAATCAACAAAAAGAAGAACAAGAAACAAAGAAGAAAAAGCAAAAAGAAGAACAAAACTCAACAGAAAAAGAACAAAAAAAATCAACAAAAAGAAGAACAAGAAACAAAGAAGCAAAATCATCAGAGCACTTTGGACGTCCATGGAATCTTTTTAAAAATTTAAAGGTTTGTTTTTCCCCTTTTTTTACACAAGCAAGTTTTGTCCGCAAACAATACCTGAGTTAATCCGTTGTAAATCCTCTTTTCCAAATTTGATTATGAAGTGTTTAGCAATTGTCTGGTAAAGGGAAGGGGTTTTAAACATTTTTAGAGCTTTCAGCATGGATCTTACTTGAAAGATGACAGAAACTTGGAAAGAAACCAAAATGGTATTTCGCGGACGATGAGCTTGCTATGCTTCCATCAAGAATGTCAATGGATTCAGCTGCTAAACTTAAATATAGAAGAGAGGCTGCAGAGTTCGTTCAAGTTTTTCTTTTTTGTCTGAATGAAATAGAATTTGTTTTTTTAGGAAATGGCTGAACGGTTGAACCACAACATTCTACAACACAGAGGACAACTTGCAAGCATTCGCTTCAACAAGACGACAATTGCAATTTTGCGTGTGTTTGGCTTGTAGATGAGCAGTTATGAAGTTTGAAAGGTTATTAATTCTTTTTCGGGTCTTTTGAGTTTAATGACTAGAATTGGATCCCTAAATTCAAAATTCACATTTGTATATGGGGAAAAAATTTGAAGGCCTTTCCTCATGACAGTTGGTAGCGTTGTTGATTATATGAGAATAGGTCACGGGTTCAATACTCTTTGAGGGTTTTCCTTTTTAATTTTTCATTAAATAATAATTTTCTTTTAGATTTGAGTGACGACGACCCGTTGGACTCGTCGTCACACAATGGTAGTTTATGTATTTTTTTAGTTGAGGGGTTTTTCGAAGGATTTCTGAATTGTTTTGGGATTTCAAATTTTTGATACAATTGAATGTATCTGTTTTTTTTCCTTGTCCTAACATCGTCTAAACTCCTCGAGGACATACTCGTATTCCTCAAAGAACACTTGACCCTTTGTTCTATTTATAACAGACTGATTTCTTTGAACTTTGTAGGGCACCTCTATATATTTACTTTAGGTAGGATAAGGAGGAAAATTTTGTGTAATCCCCCTCCAATCTACCCCTTTTATCAATAAATTTACGCAAATATTATCTTGAAATGAGGTCCAAGAGTACACTAAATCCTTTTTTTCTTTCAGACTTGAACAATTCCCAGCAACAACATCAACAGAAAAAGCAACAACAAGATGGGCATTACAAGCGAAGTGGTGCTTCTACAACAATCCTGAAAACTAGGATTAAAAGGTTATTTAATAAGCTTAACAATTCGGAACTTATGCAGTTTGGGTACACACCCCATTTATTTTCGGAAAATATGTAAAAATGGTCAGTCTGAACAACAAATGTAGAACCCATCGAGCTGTGTCGAATGACACCAAAATCGATAAAATCCGACTTGATTGGACCGAGATACAGACCCCTGAAAATTGAATAAGCACAGGGGCGAAAAACCAAAATGGCGAAAAAGTATACAAATGATAGCTCTTTCGAAAGAGCTCGTCGAGCTGAGTCGAATGACACCAAACTCGACGTGATCCGACTTGATTTGACGAAGATATGACATAAGGTTGCCGACTCCGGTAGGTCTAAATAATGTCATAACTTTGTCTAAGCTCTTCCGATTACGTTGATTTCGGTGTCATTCGACTCAGCTCGACGAGCTCTTTCGAATGAACTATAATTTGTGAAATTTTTTTTCATTTTAAAAAATTGCCCCTGTGCTTGTTCAATTTTCAGGGGTCTGTATCTCGGTTCAATCAAGTCGGATTTTGTCGATTTTGGTGTCATTCGACTCAGCTCGATGGGTTCTACAATTGTTGTTCAAACTGACCATTTTTATATATTTTCCGAAAATAAATGGGGTGTGTGCCCAAACTGCATAAGTTCCAACAATTCTTTAAAAAAAATTTTTTAACATGTTCAACTATGGATGGACACACTCGCTGGTTGGACGATCCTGGCTGAGACAAACAAGAATTGGGCATCCTTTGGTTGTGGATTTTTGAGAAGGGAAGGAAGGCGTGATTGAGACAATGGTAATTTATTTATTTTAGTTGAGGGGGTTTTTTGAGTGAATCTCTGAATGGGTTGGGGTTTTCAAATTACTGATACAATTGAATGTATGTTTTTTCTTTTCGTTGTCCCAACATCGACTAAACTCCTCTGGAGCATACTTGTATTCCCCAAAGACTTTGAAACCTTGTTCTATTTATAACAGACTGCTTTCTTGAATTTTGTAGGTTGCCTCTTTATACTTTAGGTAAAAGCAAGGAGGAAAAATCGTGTAATATCCCCCAATTTACCCATTGTATCGTAAATTTACTGAGATTTTGAGCTTGAAATGGAGTCCAAAATCGCACAAAATGCTTCTTTTTCTTTCAGACTTGAACAATTCCCAGCAACAAAATCAACAGGAAAAGCAACAACATGATGGACATTCAATGGATTTCAAGCGAAGTGGTGCTTCTACAATAATTTTATTTGAATTTTTTAGTGTTAATCTTTTATTTTTTAAATTTTTTTTATTTTTTGTTTTTAATTTTTGGGTTTTTATTTTTGTTGTATAAAGTGTTTTGGCCTTGTTTTTGTTCTGTTTTGTAGAAACTTAGACACGACAGCCGGCGTGACTTGACTGGGACGTTCCTTAAACTTGAGAAATGATGACCTGTTTAGAGAAATTATTAAAAAGAAATAGTGTATTAAAAAGAAATAGTGTAGTTGGCTCCTATACAAAGGATCGTTTTTTTAAAGGATCGCCCTGTTAAAGGATCGTCACGGGCAAAAAGTATTAAAGGGCCGTTCATTAAAGGATCGTACATCAAAGGATCGCCAAGAGTAGAAACGTCAAAGGATCGTCATTTTTCAAAAATTGAATAAAGCCAGTTCAGTGCCAACAGTTTGAGCGCAGTTATATGCCGGAGTCTGCTAACGGTGATTAAGACGGAAAAGTCAGTCGAGTCTGAACATAATTATGTATTACCAACAGAATCTTCGCTGGAAAAACTGTTTTTGTGCCGCTGCGTAGGAAGCCGGGCATGTCGAGCGGAACGACGGCCGCCGCTTCGCTACGGTCGCCGCGAGCGAAGCGAGCACGACCGCAGCGAAGTACGACCATCGTGTAGCGAAGACCATGCCCGGCTTCCTCCGCAGCGGCAAAAACTTTTTTCCGCGGATTGCTAACTCTTTTAACCCCCTTTTGGCCGAATCGAAAAGATATGGGACTCAAACGTCTTCTTTTGGGTGGGTACTCAAAAACGATGAACGTTTTTACCCATGGCGATCCATTGATGGACGATCCTTTAATGGGCGACCCTTTAATACTTTTTGCCCGTGACGATCCTTTAATTGTTTTTAGACGTTACGATCCTTTGAACGTTTTTAGCCGTGTCGATCCTTTTATGTTACGATCCTTTGTAGGGACACGGTGTAGTTAGAGAAAAAAATTATTAGCATTTATGGTCAGTTCGGTGCTCATTTTGAGAGCGAAGTGGCGAAAATTAAAACCTATTGTGAAAATTAAGATTTCTTGTAAATAAATTTTCAATTAGTATTGATGTTATCGATCTTTTTGGAAAGAATAAATCTTTTAAAATATAAGTTATTCATCAGAATCGATTTTTTGAAAACTTTTTTTGATTTTTGATTTGTTTTTTGATTTGATTTTTTGAAACAAAAGCTACTGTATTCGAATAAAAACGTCTTAATTGGTTCGATAAGGATTTACTCAATTAACTTGGACTTGTTCTGATACTGTTGGGATAAAGTCCCTCGTTGTTAAAAAAGTCCATTGCTGTATGAAATCGGAAAAATTTTAAAAATTTATTGTAAAAAAATTGAAGATCAAAAAATCGAAGATCATTTTATACATTTTAGGCCTGCAACAGCTTCATTTAAAATGTCTAATAGTCAAAGTTAATCAAGGAAAGATAGAATTTCCCGGTCTACAGGTACTATAATTGGTTTATACAGTAGCTATTGCCTCTCAGAATTCAGCACCCAATCGCCTATACAAAATACTGGTCAGTAAAATACCGTTGCAATAAAAGACCGGAACAGCCGAAGGTAGTTAAAAGATCGATTAAATAAAAGACCGTTGCAATAAAAGACCGGAACAGACTAAGGTTGTTAAAAGATCGATAAATTAAAACACCGTCTCAATAAAAGCGGAACAGACTAAAGTGTTAAAAGATCGATAAATTAAAGGTGCAATAAAAGACCGGAACAGCCGAAGGTAGTTAAAAGATAGATTAATTAAATGTCCGTTGTGATAAAAGACCGGAACAGCCGAAGGTAGTTAAAAGATAGATTAATTAAATGTCCGTTGTAATAAAAGACCGGAACAGACTAAGGTTGTTAAAAGATCGATTAATTAAAAGACCGTTGCTATAAAAGACCGGAACAGATTAAGGTTGTTAAAAGATCGATTAATTAAAAGACCGTTGCAATAAAAGACCGGAACAGATTAAGGTTGTTAAAAGATCGATAAATTAAAAGACCGTCTCAATAAAAGACCGGAACGGCAGTAGGAAGTCAAAAGACCGTTATTAAAAGACCAATGCAATAAAAGACCGTAACGGCCAAAAGTGGTTAAAAAAGAGATTAATTAAAAGACAAGTGCAATAAAAGACCGGAACGGCCAAAAAGGGGTTAAGAGACCGATAACTTTGAATATTTTCAACAACAGGTCGTCGATAAACGGATTTTACACAAATGAATATTAAAGGAAATTTTAATTTGATACTAATTAAACAAAAATAAGAATAGCATAAATTGATTATAAATCATTATTCATCCATTTTCATTTTATTCATAATCTTCTTCGGTAATAGTGTCGTTTCCAGTCCCCATTTTTCCTCCCCAATTTTTTACCCTATGTTTGTACGGAATGGTCAAATTTTCCCCTTTCTGTTATCAAATTTGCCTTTCCATATTTTGCCTAAAATATGGAAAGACAAATTTTCCGCACTTCTTTTCCCTCCTATAATAGCCAGAAAACATTTTTCATGCTTGGTGTTTCTCCTTGTGAAAGAACTGACTAAAAAATTAATCTTTTTGATTGTTTTGAGGCAAAATATAGAAAGGCAAATTTGATAACAGAAAGGGGAAAATTTGACCATTCCGTACAAACATAGGGTAAAAATTGGGGAGGAAAAATGTGGACTGGAAACGACACTATTACCTCTTCTTCAATTCTTTTCAGATCCAACCGAAGCAGAACGAGAGCGGCTACGTTTCTCGATACTCTCAGCATCGTCAGCATTTTTAGCTAAAAAATATTTGAAGTCTAAACAGTTTGGTATTTTGACATATTTAAAGGGGTTTCGGCGTTTGGTTCTACGGCATGTCCCCGTTCCGAACAACAGAGAAAGGAACTCCACTTCGAATTGTTAGCCGACTCGATAACATGCCCGAAACAAAATCCGTCCTCCTACTCTTAATAACCATTAGTGAATTCTTTCCTCAGAATTTTCCCACCATATAAAGTTGAAAAAAATACCAGGAACTGGTGAAGTGCTTCGTGAACGAGATGGTTCTGGAGGTGGCGAACGTGAACGCGCAGAAGTAGAACGACGGTCATTCGAGTATGAACGACTGCGTGAACGGCTACGAGGCGATCGAGAACGCGAACGAGAATATGAACGACGTCCCCCACCATTGTAGGAATCGTCAATAAGCTTTATGCGGCGTCCATTGATTTCTTTGCCTTTAAAAGAAAAAATAATAAAATGTGTTAGCAATAAGATAAGAATCAAGGGAAACGGAAATTTCAAAAGTCGGAACATAAAGTTGAAAAAAAGTATTCAAGTTTAAACCAGAAACCCCCCCTTCCTTTTTTAACTGCTTGTTACTTCCCGGCGAGTGCGTGTTGATTTTAAATAGTCCTGAAACACAAATCTAGAACCCGGACCCTACAAAAATCTAGCTGGATCCAGACGTGAAACTACTTAAATCGTTGCCCACTGAAAAGGAAGAATTGAAAGCAGTTAAGTTAAAGGCAGAAAATATGGCAATCTCAGAAAGGACGGAGTAACCTAATTCCAACATTAAAACTAAACATATTAACCTTGAAATCTGTCCATAGCTCGGCGCAAATCATCGTGCGTAGCAAAACAAACTAGCGCTTCATTTCGAACTCTTTTGTGGGCATCAGCATAAGTAACTAAAAAATTGAAAATTTTCTAAAAATTTTTGGAAGAAAAAAACCTTCGCCTGCATCCCTCATCATGTCTTTTAGGTCCTTAAATATAAAAAATTATTTAATTTAACGATTTTAAAAAAAATTTTAAAAATAGACAGGCCGCTGATCGATAAATAAACTTGTAAAGTTGAAGAAATTCCAACCAGCAGATCAATCAGATTTTTTTTATTAAATTTTAGCCTTTGCTGTCACTTATACCGACGGCCTGTCAGTATTTTTTCCTTCAAATCATGACTTTTTTCCCTCAAGCTTTTAGTCTCCATTTTTAGGTAATTTTTTTACACTCTCCTTCACCAATTTAAATTTTGAAATTTTTTTTCACCAAATTTTTTCAAGCAAAGGCCAAATTGTTTTTATTTTTGTGTTTTTCCAAAAGCATATGCAAGCCAGAGTAGGCCAGCAAAAGGGACACAGAAAGAGTAAAACGGCCCTCTCATGAAAGATTTGAGTGAAGGAATGGCAGGGCGAAGTGTGAAAACTCCGCCAGCCACATTTTTTGACAGGCCAAGGCCAAAGAGAGTGATTGCGGATTCAGAGCCGCCATTCTAATTTCACCTTATTTAAACAAAATAACCAAAAAATATTTTATCGGCCACATCTTATCTACTGCAGCCCAGTCTACCGTGTAAAAGAGGCTTATAATTAGGAGGGGTTACTTGACAAAGTTATCTTAAACGTCATCTTCTAGCAGATATCCGAGACACAGTGACAAGCCGCATCGGATGACCCGGTACGAACCTTGTCCTTTTCTGGAGTTAGCTATGATAATGCGGGAGGAGCTCACGGTAAACTGGCCCAGTTTAACCCAAAAATAAATTTAAAATAAAATTCTCTTCAAACCTGCCAAGAAAATCGGGTTGACAAATTGGTAACACGCATCCGATGACGTGTCTCTCTTGGCGGAGGAAAACGTCCATTAACACGGCCATCACGGCTAAAAAAGATATGTAAATGAAAAGTCGAAAATAATGTTACGATCGCATTCCACTTCGATATTGTTGTTGTTGCTGAGAACCTGAAGAATATAGAATAAGCCAAACAAAAATAATTATGAAAATGTTAAGATAACACCAGGGATGGTTATCTTAAAATATTCTGCTTTCGAGCTCAGTCCTCCGCTTTATAAAACCCATCCCTGATATGGACTATGAAAAAAAATTCGAAAATTTGTGACGGTAAGCCCGTTAAACAATAGTCTGTTTGCAAGGCAAATTGTGTCCAAAAATGAAACCGGTCCTATTCGATTGGGCTTTCATAAAAAGGAATCATTCTTAAACTTGTTAATGTTTCTTTTTTATTTCTAAAGAAAGAGAAAAATCTGCAAAGGAGTTTAACTTGATGAAAATAAATACTAAAAATGGGAAGAATAAAAAATTCGAAGCCAGAGGACTCGAACCTCCATCGAAAGATATTGTACTCAGGAACACTACCAATCCACTACAGAAAACATATTCTTCCTCCATTTAAAATCGATTATATGGAAGCCAACCGATTAGGACCATTAACAAAACTAACACCAAGGAAACCTCAACAAACTCTCTACTCCCTTAAAGATATTCCAAAAAATAAAAACTAACGATGAGAAATTTCCACAACAACTCTATGCCCACAAAGTTCACGTCCATTTAGTTCATACACAGCGTCCTCAGCATCACGGTAGTCGTCAAATTCCTTCAAATTAAATTTAAAAAATGCTCAAAAAATTAAATAAATAAACCACAAATCCAAATCCGTTTTTTAACATTATATCACGTATTTTTCCAAATCCTCTAAAGAAATGTTCAAGCTCTCGGTCGGTAACACGGGAAGACAAATTGCCAATATAAACTCTGCTCATCGTCATTCTTCTTTGGCTAATTTTGTGGAAACTGAGAGGGAATTGACTAAAAAAAGCCTTAAAAGCTAAAAAAAATATAAAAATAGATTTAACAGATAAAAACTGATAAAAATTGGAATGAAAGGCGAAAAGAAAAATTTTATCAACAATAACCATTTAAGGCGAAAAACTGACAATGAGTTGAAAACAAAAAAGAAAGCTTAGAGTATGGACAAACAGAGAGAAAAATCAATTTATTAATCTCAAAAGAAAATTTTCGTTTAGTATTCTTTCAAAAAATCTAAAAATAGTTGGCCAATGTTCTAAAAGAAACAAAAAAGATTTCTAGAATTTGCAAAAAATTTTGCGGATCTTTCACAAGACTTCCGCAAAAAATTTTTTTGCGGATTTTTTTAGTCCGCAGTTTTTTTGTGATTTTTGAGAATTCTAAACAGCAGGGATATCTCAAAAATTCGTAAATGAAATTGAAGAGGATTAAAACAAAATTGACAAAAAATAAATTGAAAATTTGTCCGCAAAAAATCAAATAATATCTAAAGGTTTTAAGACGAACATAAAAACCTGAAAAATATAAAAAAAATAATGAAAAAAAATTTAAAAAAATACCGGAAAATTATTTTTAGGAAAGAAAAGTTGTTTTCTCTCCAAAACAATATTTAAATCAGCAGCTTTAATTAAAGGTCGTAATTCATTTGAAGGCCTTGTCCAAGAATTGTCACATTCATCAAAAATTTTTTCTTCGTCTCGACTTGTTACATTGTCTTTTATAATGATACAACCATTTTTAGTTAATCCTTTCTAAAAAAATAAAATTAAATGAAGAATTGAAAGGAAAATGTGAAGAAAATATTTTGAGTAAAATAAAAAGGAAATAAAAAAGTCAGCAACCAAAAGGACTCGAACCCTCATCAACAATAAGTGTATGCAGAGGTCTTAACCAATACACCACCGAAGAGCTTGTCTGAATTTCTAACAAAACAGCTATAAGCAAAAAAGGAATGTGTTCAATCTCACATCTATTCTAGACACCACAACTTATCCCAAAATTCCCAGAGACAATAAAATAAACAAACCTTACATCTCTTCAGAAAACTAGTCAAATCATCATCCGATAATTGTCCAGTCACCCATTGTATCCAAATCAAATCATAAAAATTTGGGCTTGGTTTGAAAGTATGGAGGGATTCGACAAATTTATTTTGAACACGAGAATTTCCTTCAGAACCAATATATTTCTCTGACTGTTCAATAAACTAAAAAAAAATTTGAAAAACAAAAAAATTAAAACAAAACCGTTTCAGCAAAATCAACCATATCAACATAATTAAATTTTGGAAGAAGCAAATGTTTTGTTATACGTCCAATTCCACTTCCGCAATCCAATGCATGTTCAAATTTGGTTAAAAGTTGCTTTAAAAATAAGGAAAAGATTATAAAACTGAATTAAATTTTAAATAAAACAATATTTATAAAGATCCGCAAGTTTTGTCCGCAAATAAAAAATCTGGTGTCAATTATTTACAAACAAAAACCAAACGGCTATTGAAGGAGTAACCTCAAAATAAACACTCCTTAGTTCCTCAAGAGTCACGCAAGATTTTAAAGTCACCTAGAATGGATATCATTATTATTTGTGGACAGACTCCTCAAGCAGAAACTGATGCTATTAATGGAGGAAGGGCCATCCATCATAGGAAAATTTTTAAGGGCGAGGGGAGGGGGCTATTGCTGAAATATTGAACTATGTTCACTTGAGTTGATTACAAGGTCAAAGGGAAATCATCAAAAATAATCCAAAAGAGTGCACTCATCCCCTATTCACCCCAAAAAACTCCCTCAATACTTAACTAATTAAAAAAACCTTTCTAGTCAAATAATCCAATAAATGCTTTGAAGTATTTATATCAGTTGAATGTAACTGTTCAAAACCACCAAGCATTCCATCCACATTGCTGGTTACTGAACTCCAATGTAAATATGCCTTTTCGTAATTTATTTCGTTCATAATTTAATCATTGTTTCATTAATCTCTTAAATAAAAAATAGAAAGATTAAAAAAAATTTGCAAAAAAATTTTCTATAGCAAAAAAGAGAAGTTAAATTCGTATAAAATCATTTGCCAAAACCATATTTTGCCAATACGGGTAAAAATACATGTTTTGCCAACAGACTGTGTGGCAAAATGTGAGTTTTAGCCTTATTGGCAAAATATGGCGTTCTCTTTTTGTCGTCAAAAACAGAAAAATAAAAAAAGAGAAAAATAAACAGTTAGATACAAGGAAAGGAAAGCAAGAAATAAGACACCCATGCGCTCCCCATCTAATAATTTTAAAATAATATTGCTAAATAAATTCAGTCTTCTATACTACCCAACAATCAATAATTTAATAGTGGATAGTATAGTAGTTATAATTTTTGGAAAGGGGGATTTTGATAATCCCCTGCATGTTTTAAAATTATTAGATGGTGCCCACGTTTATCCTTTTTGTTGAAAAAATTTTTTTAACTAAAAAATGGACAAAGAAATATTTTTACGTGCAAAGGGCTCGAACCCTCATCAGAAACAGCTGTAGACAACAGCACTAACCAGTACACCACAAGCGAAATTAAAAAGTTTTCCAAATAAAATGACTATATGCTGAGGCTAGAAAGGAGATTCATAATTCCTATCCGAAGGAAATAAAATTAATCAACTGATCTAATGCAAGAAATCGACCAACTAAAAAACAATTATGATCAGAAAAATAGGAACCAACACCCTTTATGCATAATTTAATGTCAATTACCTATCCACAAAAGCCGGATCCTCAAAATCGCGCACTAAAAAAATAGAACCAACCAAAAAATTCATCGCTGCGACAGAACAGAAAATTCATCAAAATTTAATTTTCTTTTAAATTTTTAAACTTAAAAAATTCTGAAAAATTAATTATTAAAAATAATTTTTTTTTGCAAATTTCTATCCGCAATTTTTTTAAAAATATTATATTTGTGGTAAAAACAAAGAAAAATATAAAAATACATTAAAATTAAATTTTTATATGTATAAAATTATCGAATATATCACAATAATCTCATCTCAATACATATATTCTTTTTTTTAAAAACGTCTCAGAAATTTATTTTTTAGTTAAATTAAAAAATGGAAATTTTAAAATTAAAAAGATGGTTGGATTAAAAATTAAATAAGAAAAATAAAAATTGTGAAAAATAAGAAAAAAACATTTTAAGTAAATTTAAGCACCAAACATGAAAAAAATTACGGGAATACAATTAAGGGGAAATATAATTAAAAGAAAATAAAACCAACTGGGAAAAAAGAGAAATTTTTTACCAAAATTTTTAGTTAAGGAAGGAAAATGTGTATTTAATAGTGACAGGCGCCGATCGGATCCGGTCAGACTTTTACAGTGTCAAGGTCCCGAATCCGGAGTTTTTTGCGGTCTCCTGATTAGTTCCGAATCGAAACAGAAAGGGTTACCCGATTTCTGGTCTGGTTCTGCTAGAAACCCGCATCCGACTATGGAAAATAGATTTTGCAGGTTATTAGTAAGGGCCTACTCCAGAAGACCCAAAAGGTCAATCCTAAAGCCTAAGTCCAAATACTTGGACGAATAAAGGGGACATCTTACATTATTTTCCTTCCTTATTAGCGCCAAATATTTTAATTAAATTAAATTTAAATTCAATGGGAAATATAATTTTATGAAAGAATTTAAGACACAAAATTATGGAAAAGAAGAAAAATTAAGATTAAAAATAAAAGGATATGTTCTAAAAAACAATAAAATTTGGTGGTACATAAACAAGAATAACTAGGAAAAAAATAAATATATTCTTGATTAATTTATAGTTTTCTATATAAAAATAAATGCAATTTTTTAGAAAATAAATAATTTTTGAATAGAAAAATTAAAAGGAAAAAAATATTAGAGACGTAGAAAGCACAGAGTTTGCAGCACGATTTATACAAACACTGAATATTTTTTTTAATTTAAAAAAAGATTGGGATTTTTGTAGGAAGCACATAAAATTTTAATTCAATTCAAATAGTAGTTGTTTAATAGAATAGCTATTCCAAAAGCTAGGATCACAAAGAGAGTCTTTAAAAATAAAATTTTGTTACGAAAAAAGTTGTAAGCAGGGCAGGGATACCCGAAACCCTACCCAAGAAATTTTCAAAAGTACGCCCTTAACGCTGCCTGATTTTTCTGCTCTTAATCCTCCTAACTGACTCTAAGCATGATCCAAAAAATCGTTGAAAAAAAGACTCGACCTTTTTCTCAACACGTGACATCCCTAAAATAGGTCATTGTCCATGAGAGGTTATTCTAATAAATAAGAGACTAACCCCCATAATTTCACTAATTTTTAATAACAACAAAATTCGGGCACGGAAAGTCCCAAAATTAAGCCCCAAAAATTTTTAAAAATACCAAAACAATCAAGGCACAATCCTTCTCTGATGCCGTCTTTCTTATCCAACTACCAAATCGTTTTAATCTTTTGTACATTGTAACTTTAGTTTCCTTTGGATTTGGATAATGAACAGCTGCTTGTTGTTGCCGTCCACGTCCACCACCACCACTAGTTGATGGACCTTGAAAAAAATATTTTGCAAGAGGTTATTTAGGGGGGAGATATTGAGGAAATTCCCCAAAATCAACCCATCCAGTCCCCCGATTTCCCCTTTATCCCGCCAAATCCACAGATATCCCTCTCTATCCACTGATATCCCTCTCTGTCCACAGATATCCCTTTAACCCAGTTAAATCCTATGGTTTCCCATTTATCCCTCTAAATCCAGAGATATACCTCCCTCCTATCCACTGATATCTCTTTAGTCCAGTTAGATCCTCTAATATTCACTTTATCCCCCAAATACACTGATATCTCTTCGAGATCCTTCCTAATCGTTAGAGAAGATTAACTGTTTGGAGCCTTAAAAAATTTCAAAATCAAAACCTGAAGAATTTTTTCCTCCATGAATAGCTCTTTTCTTGGGAGATTCATTAGGCGATTTTTGTGAAGAAAAAACAACAATAGAGGAGGGAGCAGAAACACATTCATCTAACAAATGTCCATCATTATTATCAAAAAATTGTTGAACAATAAAAAGACGAGCTTGACGGGGTTGTTGGTTTGTATTTGGAATTGAAAGGGTAAAACAAGTATTTGCCTAAAAATAATTTTATTAATTAAAAATAAGGTATTTTGTTAATAATTTACCCCCTCATAAACAGTCTTCCATATTTCGACAACCGATTTTTCTTTTGCTGATGAAGCAACTTTGGGTGCAATCTGAATATTGTTTTTGAAAAAAATTATTTAAAAATAGTGAATTTTTTTCGAATTTTTATTCCAAAAATTTTTTGTTAAAATTAGAAGTCGGCACGAGAGGGAGCCCGTATGCGAGGTTACAGGATCCCGTTCCTGAATCAAGAGGTTTAAGCAATGAAAGGGATTACCTCCCTCCCGTTCGAGTTTTTAAAATTCAATCCAGTTACGGGATCCCGGGAATGCGGTTTTTGCCCATCTCTAGTAGAGTTGCCGGCCCGGTCCAGTCCGAAAGATCGAATCGGTCATCAAATTTTGGCCCGAAAAAATGACTCGAACGTCGGCCAGGCTCGAAAACGGCAACCCTAATCTCAGGCTAAAACGTGGTTCCTTTTATAAATATTTCAAACCTGAAGTCGGTAGATAATCTGTGAATTTTGGTAATCATTGGCTGAAGAAGATCCTCCAGCATCTAACCGTTGAATATCTGCAGAAGAGGAATCCTTGCTCCGAGCAGCGATCCATTCAAAATTGAAAAGGTCATTAGAAAGTTCATAAACTGTTGGAGCCTTTAAAAAATTGAAATTTAATTTCACAAAATAAATTTTTAAAAAAATTTTAAACCTGTTTAGGTGGAGCAGGAGGTTGTCTAGTTGTTTGAAATGAATAACGGGTAGACCATGTGCCAAGCATTGTCCCTTTTGAAAGGGCTGCACGAATTCGGAAATGATGCATTGTAAGTTCTCTTAATCCTTTAACTTTGGCAGTTCTCAAATCACCCTGAAAATAAGAAGAAAATTTAGAAAAATACAAAGACTTGGGATTTTTGAACTTGTATAACCCTCCTTTTATTTTCTCCCTAAATCAATAGGTACCCAGCTCTGTGTGTCAGGATTTATGACTAGGTATTGTGCGTGTGCACCACAATCTATGACGTAAATCACCAGCTTCTGCAAATAGAACCTAATCCAAAGTTGGGTGTTGTACCAAGGATGTCACGACCAGAAACTCATGCTCTTTTTGACCAGAAACACGATCTTAAGAAAATTTTGAAAAACCGACCCGAAACACGACTTTTTTTCAACCCATGACATCCCAGATACACACGCCTAGATGTCCTAACTAGAGGTAGGTAATTATCGCCAATGATTTAAGGAGAAAATAAAACAAGGGGCCATACAAAGTTCAAAATTCCTCCCAAAATTTTTTTATTCAAACCTCATATACAGGCGAATACGTCCCATTTTCATTTTCTCTTTCCAAATAATAATAATAATTAATTAAAGAAGCATCTGAAAATTTTAAAAAATTTCAGAAAAAATTTTTTAATTCCAAAAAACTAACCACCAGGAACATTCCATTTCAATTTTAAAGTATTTGCAGTTGCTTGAGACAAAAATAATTCTGGCGGTTCAGGAGGTTTTGCCATTGTTGAACATCTAACTGATTCACGGCAACTCTTTCCTATTGAATTTTCAGCTTGTAAACAAATTTCGTATTCAGTTTGCGTTTCAAGTGATTGAATTATTAAAAGGCGTTGAGAGCCAGGAACAATCTGTTTTAAAAAATAAAATATATTTTTTAAAAAATTTTAGACTCCACAGTGTAGCGGTCAACTTCACAATGGTCACATGACCCTGTTAAGTCAACTCCACATATCTTGGCGGATAAAGGGGGCGCAGGGCCAAGAACACGTGCGTATGCTTACCTTTTGCCTTATCTGACAGT